ACTACTACTACTACGACTACTACTACCACTACTACCACTACTACTACCTACTACTACTACTACTACTACTACTACTACTACTACTACTACTACTACTACTACTACTACTACTACTACTACTACTACTACCTACTCTACTACTACTACTACTACTACTACTACTACTACTACTACTACTACTACTACTACTACGACTACTACTACTACTACTACTACTACTACTACTACTACTACTACTACTACTACTACTACTACTACTACTACTACTACTACTACTACTACTACTACTACTACTACTACTACTACTACTACTACTACTACTACTACTACTACTACTACTACTACTACTACTACTACTACTACTACTACTACTACTACTACTACTACTGCTACTCCTACTCCTACTCCTACTACTACTACTACTACTACTACTACTACTACGACGACTACGACTACGACTACGACTACGACTACGACTACGACTGCAACTACGACGACTACTACTACTAATAATAGTACGACTACTACTAAGACTACGACCGTAACTATTACGATTACTGCCAAGAGCTAAGACGTAGATTACAACTAGTAGTACTACCACGACGATTATCTTCTTACCACTGCGGCGATCACTACATTGCGACTACTGTTATCAGCATGACTACCACCACGACCACCACTGCTACCACTGAAAGGGAGACGTAAAAGAGAGGGCGCCGCGAAGGCACACGGTCCGCGCGCCCGTTTCACCTCCTCACGCGCGCGGCAGACGAGAAATGCACGCACCTATGTGGGGGAGGTCGGAGGGACACCGGGAGTGGGGAGGGAGGAGGGCGGAGCAAGGAGGGTGGCGCTGAGGAAACAGGGAAGGCCGAGAGGGGAACGATTGGGAGGTGAAGGCAACGACGGGTTGAGGAGGGATGGGGGCGGGGGGATGGGAAAGGGGAAATGGTAGGAAATAGTGCATGGGTGATCCACCTAGCCGCATCGCGGCAGCACCGAGTGGCTAGTCGCCGTCCTGGAAGGGCAACAACCTTCGACGTTGGCCCCCTTCATAACACACTCCTCCACGCCCGAGCCCATTCAAAAACCGAGTGGGCAGACTCAAAACCGTGCAGGTGGGCAACTCGATCAAGGCCTAGGATGGGGGCCCAGACCCCATACTGGTGGAAGCTGGCGGGCTCATGGGACACATCGGCCACGGGACCCGCCACAAGCTGGCGGGCCCCAACCCAGCCCCAGCCCCACCCCCCAGCAACGGACCAGAGCGGGAGTGTTCCAGCTTACCGTGCAGCTATTCAACACTTCCGGCCCGCAGGCCTCTCAACCCAGAGAGCCTCTCGGGGTCCATGGCACATGGCCGCAGGATGGAGGGACCCACGCAGCCTGGAACGCTGGGTCTTGAGCCCGGGCTGCCCAGAGCTCGAGCAAGCCCCAGCGAAGCCCATGCCAGGGGAGACCCCCTGACCCGCAGACGCCCCCGCAAGAGTTGCAGAAAAAAGGGCGGGAGCTCGCCGGAGGGCTCACCGGCATCACACTCGACAACCGAGTGCTGGTGAAACAGCCACGGCCTCCCAAGCACGACCCAAACGTCGACCCCCCCACGGTTCTCACAGGGCGTTGGCTCAGGCACGGCGGGGAGGGGAACGAAGGCAGCCTGCTTCCACCCAATTTCCTCCTGGACTTTGCTGGCAACGTTCACCTCACTGTCAGGCTCAATGTTCGACGAGGTCGGGAACGACATCGGTTGTGCCACCGACACCCCCGGTGTCCCAGGCTCCGCTGTCCCCCAGCCAGCCATGCAGCCGCCCGACTCACTGGACTAAGAACTGGCGGACTCCAATCTCGCGGGCTTCGACAGAGGAGGTCCTCTCGGGGGAACGCGCCCAGACGTCGCCCACTTTTGGCCCAGCACTCCGCGCGCTCGTCGCCACGGCGACACCGCGCGTCAAAGAAGGACTTGTCGCGGGACACAGAAGCGTGGCCTCTTGATTTCTTCCACCGAAGCAGTGTGCCCACGATTAGCGCACCACCGATCCAAAAAAAACTACGGGAGGCGCTCAGTGGGCCCAGAGCCTTGGCAGTGTTCCTCGCGCAAGCGACGGACCCTGCACACTCGGACAAATGGTCAAAGGCGGCCGTCGACCTCGGGCCTGACCGAGAACTTCGAACACAGGTGAAACGCAAAATCCCCCGACTTCCCTGGGAGACTGGGCCAGGGGCCAGGACAGAGGAACGGCACATCAGAAGGGGCCGTCATCGTCGACACAGACAGCCGCCCAACCCGCTCCCCGCAGGCCTCCACACTGGGTTAAGAACGACGACCCGTCCACAAACTGGGGAAATCAAAAGGTACCGATACGGCTACTCCCGGGACCTCTCCCAGGGTGCGTGCTGACCACGAGGCGAATCCAGCGATGGCGACGAGGGCCTCCCAGGAGGGCGAAAAAGGGGAAAACGGGCGAAGAGTAGCGGTATGGGTACCTCTTCCTCCTCCGACAAACAGCTTTCCTTCGCCTTCACGAAGCCAGCCAGGCAGGTAACCCACAAATCTGAGCCGATTGACCTCTGGGGCCTCTTGGCTGCCGAAAAAGCATGCTCGGCCGAGGGCAGAAGCCTTCGGGCAACAAGCTCAGCGCACAGGTCTCCCTCGCTCGCTAGCTCTCTTGCGGCAGCCCTGGCAAGCTCCGGCGGGCAGTCCTCGCGGCGAGGGAACTCGGTGCTCGGACAAGCAAAAAACGCGCAGCGGGAGGGCGCCGACCGCCCCACGTCTGGTGCGGCTACAGCGGGTGGCCTCCCCAGCGTCATGCAATCTCCGCTGGCACCAGTTGGGCCCCACGACTGGCAGATCTGAAGGCGTTCTTGTGCCTCCCAGTCCACAATCCAGAAAACCTGTAAAACTCAACAAAGACGGGGCTCCGGGTGTATCTCAGAAAGCGAAGGCCCCGCGCCCCCCCCCAGAACCGTGACGTAAAGCTGCAAAAGACGTTTGCTGCATAGCCTGGCGAATGGCGCCAAGCGAAAAGAATTTGAGATCTAACTCCATTTTTCCCTGTGGCAAACTCGCTGATCATGCTGTGTGAGCTGGCAGCCTGCGCGCGCAAAACAGAAGACGGTTGCCTGGGCTGGCTTAGTGCACTGCGTCCACGGCCCAGGGTGGATCAAGAGTTTGACCCCCTCCGCGTGGATCGCGGCCACCGAGTCTTCGTGCAGCAGCCCGCAACTGGGTCGCTGGGCCCTGTCGCCCAAGCTTCGCGACCTCCACACCGTGCACCACGTACGGGCCCACGAACTGCGCTCGAGGCGTCGTGCGCACACTGCAAGCCAAACTGGTGCCGGAAGCGAGCCTGCCCTCCGACCAGAGGGCGCGCACGCGCAGCCCGTCGATCTTGCCACCAGCGATGCCCGTCACTGCCAAGGCCCAGACTGCCGCAGCACACGGCGAGCCTCCGTGCAGGTGGCAAGCAGTGGCCCCTGCGGAGTGCAGCAGCTCGATCTTGGCGGAGACGCTGCGGGCCTTCGCAGAGCCCGCTGTCCGGGGGCTGGGGCACGGGGGACGGAGGAGCACGAGGGAGGAGTAGGGGGTACGGAGGAGCAGGGAGGACGGAGGAAGGAGGGAGTAGGGAAGAGCAGGGAGGAGTAGGGTGGAGTAGGGAGGAATAGGGAGGAATAGGGAGTAGGCAGTAGGAGGGAGGAGTCAGGTCAGCCAGGTCGAGCGAACAGCGAGCCCCGTCAAATCCCCCCCGCTCCCAAAACACAAACACCAAGTGCGGCAGCATGTGCCCTTGGGAATAGAACGCGGTCCAACCTAGCGAACGCACGGCGCCCGCACGCGGTCCCGTTTCCGACGACTTGGCGACGGGAGCGCTGCGCGAGCTGCGCGAGCCGCGCCCGAAGAGCGCGGCGGCGACGAAGAATGCGCCGCGCCGACACGGCACTGCCACTCTCGGACCAACCTGCGCGGCGCGTGGGCGAGGACGGCACTTCGCCAGCTCCCGCGCGGCCGCGCTGCCGCTGTTGCTGTCGTGCGACTCAGCGAGCCAAGGATTACGTCGAAGAGCACGATGAGTAGGAGAAACAATCGAAGAGGAGGAGGAGGACAAGACAAAACAAGACCACTTGCGAGCCATAGTTTCATGTCTCTGGGGGAAAACTGGATTACCTTCGGCAGTCAGAGATTATATGGATTAAATGGCTCTGTGTTGCGCATTATGAACGCCTACCAGCGGCTTCGTTGGGGGACACCACTGGCTTAAAGAGGGACGGCCTGTTGGGGACACCTTAAGCCGCCCTCCAAAAGCACCAGTCCCCAACTTAGCAAGATAGGGGCGAGTCATGAGGTCGCCATCCTACTAGTATATATATCTCAAAACTACTGCTCCGATGTGTCAGGTCTGGGGCGAGGGAGGGGAGCCAGGAAAGGGAAGGCCGTGGGGGGGCGAACCGAGGAGTGGGGGAGGTCAGTAGCTAGTGTCTGTACTCTAACAACGCGACTAAGCAGGGTTTCCAGTTCGAACTCGGTTTCCACGGGTTCTCCTGAAACGTGAAACATGGAGAAAAAAAACACCTGCTTTATACTTGAAGATGGGGGCCTCGGACCTACTCTGAAGACGATTGAGCGCCTCATTATTCGGTTGTCCGCGGAGAACCATATCTTGCATTTTTCCGAGCCTGCCACCTCATGAATCCGTGCCGCTAGTAACTGCCCTCGTCCTCGGCGGTGCTGCCCTTGCCCTTCTTGCTGGCCTTGACCTGCGACTGGACACTCTGGTTGCTGATGCCGATCTGCTGCAGGAGGATCTCCGCGTCGCGCTCGAGGGCTCCGCGAGGAGCGCTGCCTGGCTTGTACGCGCCCTTGAAGTGGTACATGATCTGAGTTATCGCATCGTGAAGGGTGGAGATCTCCGTGCCGCTCGCGTCTGTGACTGTGCCCGCCTGCTGCTGCACTGAGACCATGAACTGAAGTTTGTACTGCTGCGGGAAGTCGAACTTCTTCTTGTCGTAGTGGCACTGTCGAAGCCTGAAGTATTTGACGTGACTCTGAAGCATCAGCAGAGCCTCCTCCTGCGGTTTGAGAACCACTGCACTCCAAGACTGAATGAAGACGCGCTTGGGGCCCTCTGGAATCACATGGTCCGTAGTCGTCACGACCCACTGCACCATTGCCATGAAAATGTGAGGCCAAGGAGGACCGTTGCCGCGATTGTTGCCCTCAAGCTTGCACTTTTCGTTGTAGTTGATCCCCGCTTGCTTGAGGATGGAAATGATCGGCGCGTCGGGGAGGAGCAAGAAGCAGGTGAAGCTGGCGCCGATAAGATCCGCCAGGTCGCGACTGTTGTTGAGCGTCAATCTCGCCAATATCGCGATGAGCGCGGCCAGAGGCCCCACTTTGGAACCGGCTGCTTCCGCCTCGACCTGGCCCTTGAGCTTCGCGAGCTTCTTGTCTTTCTCGCCAGTGCCCTCGCTCTGGCCTTCTCCCTCGGGCTTGCTGCGCTTGTGAGTCACGAGCCATCATGATGGAGCAGTCGCCGCGACCCCCATCGTCGACAAGTGGAAGGCACCGAAAGTGAGCACGAATATGAGCCAATAACTCGGATACATTGTGGACTTGAGCCTGGCAAAGAGGACATTCGTATAAATCACTGCCATGGCGGGCCTGATATGTTGCACTCCTGGATGCTGCACATACACCTGTCCTGAATGAGCGAACGAGATGTTTGAGAGAGCGTGATCCACCGCCGCTTTACTGTGGAAAATTGCCTACTTTTTCCTCCGAAAACCCGCCCCCCCCCCCCCCCCCCTCCAAAATATCCCCCCCCCCCCCCCACCCCCT